TTAGAGTACAAAGAATAATATCGACGTAACTAAAAACTATAAAATATGTGCATACCTGATGATAATCATACATCTTTCTGCGAAACACATAACGGCGATAAAATTTCGATCGATCATGCACATAAATTATTAGATGCAATCACGAAATCGTGATAATTTAATACGACTTAATAAATTAAGTTAACACTTAATACTTAACACTTTACGCGAGACACTATGGGAGGAACTTTTTACACTTTTTAAATAATAATAGTTGCAAAAAACGCGATTCAAACTACAACGTGCATCTATCGCGACCCGTCATTGCACGAACTGAGCACAAACAGTGATTTCGATATTTATCGAAGAGCAATTGCGATTCTCGAAATATCGATACACTCGAAGCAGCGAACCAATCACGATATTTATTCAGTCTGCTCCTTCTGGCACCTTCTCATTGTACTTTGAGGTTACACATTTTACCTTGCTGTACGAGAAATATTACTATTACATATATTACGTAGATTGACTTTTATATTCATTTATAACTCGTGAAGTCAATGGAGCAAATTGTATGCCACATAGACATAATCTTATCAACTCCTAGGACGGGATAGTAACAGTAAACAAGTGGAATATATTCGTCAACCGGTTGTTTCAAGTAGGTATTAATTGTCACGTTTATGATGTATTTTGTATGAAAATAGGTATAACAATTTCACATTTGCTCGTTCATGGCATCGGATTATGGTATTACATCTTTATATGGCTTGCTACAATCGTTATAATGTCGAAGTATGTGTGAATCATTTTATGAACTTAATCATATTTTTTTGTTAAAATAAAAGAAAGATACAACTTTTTTTTCATTACAGAATATTTCACAATGTCCGAAAATACAATCGAAGCAACAACAGCAGAAAAAGAAGCTACTAGTGAAGAAAATGCTGTCTCGGAGGAGGACAGGCAATACTTGACAGAGTATGTGCGAGAAACAGAACAAAGACTTGCAACAAAAGAAGAGATTCGTGCAGCTAATCTAAATCCAACAAGACCTTCGGATACATCATTCAGTAAACTTGATTCGAGTCTTAAGAGAAATACCACATTTGTCAAGAAATTGAAAAACTTTAGCATGACTCAACTCGATACCGTTCTAAAAGATATGGCAAATTTAAATTTGACTAAATATGTAAGCGAAGTTGCTACCGCTTTAGTGGATGCCAAATTGAAAATGACTGATGTTGCTCCAGCTATTAGAGTATGCAGTTTTCTGCATCAAACATATGCTGAATTTTCTACTCATTTCTTCGAAAACTGGCAAAGGATATTATCATTGAAAATCAATGACAAGATCTCGAATCCCAGCAAGTTGAGAGTAGATCTTCGATTCTATGCAGAACTGGTAAATGCTGGGATTTTCACACACAAGCAAGGTTTGTCACTGCTCGGTTCAGTGTTAACCGTATTGATCAATATGGATAAGGAAGAGCATAATAATGCCAGCATAATATTGAGCTTCTGCCGACATTGTGGCGAAGATTATGCCGGTCTTGTACCAAAAAAGGTACGAGAACTATCTGAGAAACTAAATGTTCCGATTCCAAAGAGCAAGCTTTTGTCACCAGACAAGCAACAAAATGTTAAATTGTTACTGCGAGATTATTACAACTCTTTATGCAAACATTTGTTGAAGGAACACAAAGAATTGCAGGCATTTGAAAAGCAGAATCGCAAAATATTGCAAACAAGAGGCGAACTGAGTTTAGAGAGAAAGGAAAAATTAGAAGCTCTTCAAGTCTCTTATGAACGTTTGCTAACCAGTGTACAGAGCTTTTCTGATACGCTAGATGAGCCGATGCTTGAACTTCCGGTGGACAATGAGATGAAGGCCGAAACTGAAGAAACACTAAAGATGATTAATGAGGGAGAAGATAGTACCATTTTGGAAGATATGTGGGGTGATGAGGAAACGAGACGTTTCTATGAGGTATTCCCAGACTTGACAGTCTTTCTGCCAGGTTCGTATTTGAAAGAGACACCGAAAGAAGCATCAAAAACAGATGTATCAATAACAGAGGACGCTCTTGACGAAGAGATAGTTTTCGATGAGATGGACGAAGCCGAAAAAATCGAAGAACCACCGGAACCAGAAGTAGAAGAACCGCAAGTGTCCAACACGAGCAATAAGATATTATTAGACGCTTTCTTGACACATCTGCCAAACTGTGTCAATCGGGAGATGATCGACAACGCTGCAGTGAACTTTTTGATGAATCTCAATACGAAACACAATAAGAAAAAATTAGTAAAAGCTCTTTTCGGTGTTTCTAGGATTCGCCAAGATCTGCTACCGTTCTACTCTCGCTTAGCGGCCATCCTTCATCCGGTGATGCCCGAAATCGGTAACGATCTGTGCCAGATGCTAAAGCAAGATTTTAAATACCACGTCCATAAGAAGGATCAGATCAATATCGAGTCGAAAATCAAGGTGGTTCGCTACATCGGCGAGCTCGTCAAATTTAAACTCTACTCTAAGATAGAGGCACTCTACTGCTTGAAAGTGTTGTTGCATGATTTCACGCATCATCACATCGAGATGGTCTGCAATCTGCTGGAGATCTGCGGTCGATATCTCTTCTGCTCGCCGGATTCTCATCAAAGGACCAAAGTCTACTTGGAACAGATGATGCGTAAAAAGGCGGTCACTGCACTTGATTCACGCTATGTTACGATTATCGAAAACGCATATTACTTCGTAAATCCACCCGAGTCAACCGGTGGTGTCACAAAGAAAGATAGACCGCCCGTGCACGAATTCATCAGAAAATTGTTGTATCAAGATCTCTCTAAGACGAATACTGATAAAGTACTCAAATGGATGCGTAAAATTGATTGGGAAGATGAGACCGTGTCGACGTATGCTATCAAATGTCTTACTGCCGCTTACAATGTTAAGTATCCCAATATTCGCTGCGTCGGTAGTTTATTAGCCGGGTTGGTGGCCCATTACGAGACCATCGGCCCTCAGGTAGTCGACGGTGTACTCGAAGATATACGACTCTGCATGGAAATCAACTTGCCTAAATATAATCAACGACGCATCGCTATGGTCAAATACTTAGGCGAATTGTATAATTACCGAATGGTAGAAAGTGGCGACATTTTCCGTACTTTATATTTGCTGATCACTCTCGGCGTCAGTGTGGATCATTCGTCACCAAGCGTACTTGATCCACCCGATCATCTCTTTCGCATTCGCTTAGTGTGCACGTTATTAGAGACTTGCGGTCAGTATTTCAGCGGTGGCTCCAGCAAAAAGAAGCTTGATTATTTTCTGATATTTTTTCAGCATTACTTTTGGTTCAAGTATACAGATCCCATCTGGACAACGGAAAATCCATTCCCCGTCGGGATAGATTACATGTATCGCGATACATTAACGATGCTGCGACCTAAAATGCAATTGTTTCAGAATTACAAGGAGGCACAATGTGCTATAGAAGAATTGCGAAACACTTTATATCCAAGCTTGGGTAATACTCCCATTGATGATGTCGTTGCGGAAGGGGAGAATGAGATGAGCGTTATCATGGAGGGTGATGAAGAAGTAGCAGCGACCGGAAACGGTAGCGGAGACGCGAAAGGTATAGCTGAACTACACTTCGAAGAGTCTGAGGATTGTTCGGAGGCGCAGTCAGAAGAAGAATGGACGGCTGACGCGGAGCGAGACGATGCTATGGGCACCCAGGAGAACACTCAGGGTGATCGGTCTCAGAGTTTGTCGGCGGAGGGTGGCACCGAGGGTGTAATCATGGACGTAACTGAAGAATTGAACGCGGCTTTACCAGCCGGACCGCGACGTGTGAGCTGTCCAGAGGATGATGATTTCCTGTCCGCGCTAGATAAAATGGTGTCGGATAATATACAAGATAGAATGCGAGATTCGATAAAACCGCAACAGGTTGACATCTCTGTACCATTGCATGTGAAGAGCACGAAGAAAACATACGAGCAGTTACAGGAGAGGCCGAGTGACAACAATACAGTAGACTTTGTGTTAATGTTGAGAAAGGGTAATAAGCAACAATACAAGAATCTGGCGGTTCCAGTATCATCAGAGTTGGCTATGAATCTTAGGAATCGCGAACAAGAACAAAAAGAGGAGAAAGAGCGCGTAAAAAGGCTGACCTTGAACATTACCGAGAGACAAGAAGAGGAAGACTATCAGGAGACTATGAATCAAAGCACTAGACCAGTCACCGTTAACTTAAACAGAGAACGGCGGCAAAAGTATAATCATCCTAAGGGAGCCCCCGACGCTGATCTCATTTTCGGGCCGAAGAAAATTCGATAAAATCCACACAGTCAAATTTTTCATGGAAAAATAAACGGTACATCTGTGAAGTGATTATTTACAATTCGGACCTGTTTAATCATAGTTAATTATCATTTTTTTACTATAGTACATTAGAATTTCTTCGAAAATGAATGTCATAGTGGTAGTATATCGAATGCATCAAAATTTTGACAGTACGAATGTATTATATGTATAAATAACGTGTAGTGCATTTAAATGAAAAGTCATACAAACCACTGGTACAGTAAACGCTCATTAAACTAACTTTGATAATATATAAATATACATAAAATTTATTTTCCTGGCTGAAATACATGTGTACAAAAAAAAATCAATATGGACTGTTACAACACACTGCCGATTTTCGATTACACACATAAAGTTTACTGTACCATATAAATGCACTTTTAATGCAATAAGTGTATATTGATAAATTGATCATACTATAACTTGCTGTGACTCAAAAATATTATTAGACATTTTTATAAACTTATAATTAATGGTTATTTTATGTCTATCAACGAAAGCTATGTTGTGATAGAATATACGATCAATTTATATATTCTCTATGTTATCTTTCGATTCTATACCTCTTACTTGGAAACGAAAATATTTTCTTTTTTCCTCCCTCTAGATAGTTTTTTTTTTAAAGAAATCAATATTGTGATGTACAATTATTTATTTTTATCTAGGAAATTATCACCATGTACAAAATGAATATAAATAAATGTTTAAGTGCTTTAACGTTTGATACGGCTCCATAGTAAGTTTTGCAATAACGACGTCACGTATATCTACCGAAATACATATATGAAATTGATAAACGCGTGTAAATTAACACTAAATGCACGTCTGCATCTAATGATCTTTTTAAGGATCTTCTTCCGCGTCTTCAAATTGACCCGCTTCAATGTCCATAGCTTCTTCCGCCTCCGCTCCCGTATAATTGGTCCCCATTTGCTCTGATAGTGATAATGATAAATTCAATCTTATGTATATACTATCCGATACATCAACTCTAATACAATAATAATATATTAATAATATATTAATAATATATTTCAGATTTATTTATTGAATTCCGTGGATTCATTTATGAATTTTGTTTTCGAGTTTTCGAATTTTGTTATCATTAGATAAACGAAAATTATATAATACAATTACATTTAAATATATAATCCAAAAATAATATAATTTATAGAAGATTAACATAAATTACCTGGCAAAATACAAGGTGCGTCGCCAGCGCCTACTTCCTCATCATATTCGCCCTCATAGTCTTCTTCAGCATCTTCGTAGATATCCTCTGTGTTTTGAAAAATATTTATATTATATATCTTTATATTGCAAGTAATCAGAAATAAATTCATTATCTTGTTTGATAGCTTACCCTCTGAGAAGCTATCTGCTGGGTCAGGGTGAAGCGCTTGACACGCGTTCATTGCTTGAAACATTAAGTCTAAATTATTCGTATTATCTGGCGCAAACTGCATTTCTGTAATTTCTGAAGCGTTTGCGTCGTCGTCCTCGTTTTCCGAAGCATTTTGAGATGATAATGCTAATGGCATATCTATATAAAAAGACATATACAAGTACACTCATAATATTATCAAACATTAAATTGATTGCAATATAAGAACTTGTAATAATACCTGGGAGGTCTACTTTGGCATCAACCATAATATATAAACATTGTCGTGGATGAACTTGTTCTCGTGCAATAGCGTGTAATGTAATGTCAGGATATTCCAGTGAGAATCCTTGTTGCGTGTCATTGTCCATCCAAGAAAGCACACTGTCAATAAAAAACGTACAATTAGAAAATATATATTATATATATAGATAATTTATATATTATATATATATATAATTTAAAATTCCAAAAATTACAAACTGCAATATAGATCCGTTACCTTTCTGTGATATAGAATGTGCCCTTTCCTACTTCTCTATCATTGATATACAAAGTAGTATTTGGTTCTTCGTGACGTATCCCTTCTTGTGGCGGCAAGAAGCTGCTAAGCACTACCATGTTTTCTGCAAAGAAAAATAAATATTTAACAAAAATACAAATCATTGGACAAGGATGAAAGTATGGTCCATTGAAATCGACATTGATGCGGCTCTTATCAGTTATACGATGCATCTACACAGACATCATGGCAATATGTGATATACATAACAGATACTCGAGCCTGTCCCGTATCAATGTCACCTCGATACGCGGTGAATACTCCGAGAACGGAATCGCTCGGAATTCTTCTCGATAGAAAGCGCCCGTTACATAAATACGTGTACGAAGACAAGTCGCGACATAAGGGAGAGAAAGCGATAGTCTCCGCGATTAGTAAACACCGGTGTCGCGTTCCTCGGAGCTTCCTAACCAAGACGGGAAGGTCTCACCGTTCCCTTCAGTTACTGGAACCGTGCGAACGAAGCGGCGACGAGGTCCCTCGCGACGCACACAGGAGCTTGTCTCCGAGAATCGGCGTTACGCACTGTCCGCACGTCACGCACCCGCCCTCGTCCCACGATCGCAGGCCGCAGAATGAATCCAAACGAATGAGCCGTCAGAGCAGAGGTTGCCTACGTGACGCGAGATGCGGCGTGCGCGCTACGAGCTACGATTTCCTGCCTCTCGACCCTCGGCTGGCTCGGCTGTCGTTTGATTATTCGTCGTGTGTTGACGAAGGATATACCTAAAGCTCTTTAATTACGGTTATAAGAAAGAAGTAATCATGTGGAGTGGAATATAAGCACGTCGCGTGACGCAATCGTAATTTAACAATGTAGCGTTATACCGTTAAGTTATTGCGTATTATATGTGTACCGCGTATCTCTATATCTATATATACGGTGTCTGCTACTTTCCATTTAAATAACTCTGCGGAAAAGAGATCTACTTCGGTCATAAACGTAAAAAAAGATAAAAGGAGAAAAATGTTTTTTATTTCTTATTTTTTTCTTTTCAACGCAGAAATAAGGATTCATTTTGCACTCTCGCATGTGCTAAATATATAATAATTATTTTATATGTCGAAATGAATAATACAAATATATAGCTACAGCTTATGCAGAAACAATGTAAATAATAGATTACATATAATTATTTAATTCAGCTTTAAGATTCTAAACGATTATAACCCAAGATTTTATTCATTTTTATCATATATTTTATATTTTATATATTATATATCATTATAAAAAATAGAATTTCCTGTCTTTATTTCTTAGATTATATCATTTAGAATAAAAATTAGAGGAAAATATGTGTAATCTATTTTTTTACATAAGCTTTTGTTTATTTGTATATGTATAAACATATACCGTCAATTTTTTTTAGATACTGACAATTAAACATTTTAAAGAAAATGAACTTCTGTAACAATTAAAATAAGTCTTAAAAAAAATTGAATGTTATAAAATTCTTAGACGTAATTAAGCGTAGCATGATTGTGTCACACGTGTTATTCGCTCGCTATTCCTCATCGTACTACACGTGTTACTATTCCGCGCTGCACGTGCTATGCTTTTGTGCTATTATTGACAGGTCGTCGCGCACGACACGACAAAGTTATTCCGACCGAGAGGAACGCGAGATCTCTTCGCTATCGCATGCGAAATGCTAAGAATGGTACAATGATGTAGTATAATTATTTATTTAACGCTCCTAAAATGTATATAATATATGAAATAATAAATGAAACGCGGATCATCGTGCGAGACAAGAAACAGCGACGAATATATAAGGTCACGTCGAAAAGGCACGATCGCTTGAAAACCAGTCCGATGACATGTTTTTCCTTATACATTTCCGAGAACGCATAGCATGAATTTCTCCTTTTCCTAGGTGACAAACATTTCCATGGCAACTTTTCTTCCGGCTACGATCAATGTGAAACCCAACTATCTCGCAGTTCAATGCAACATGAGATTTTTAACAAGGAATTTTAAACATTGATTTTCGTTTTGAATTTTTATATTTATAGACTTTGATTAAATAACTTTCGAAGACTGTTTAAATTTTGCAAAGAATCATGTTTTGTTGTAAAGAAAATATATTTTCTTACGTTATATTGATAAAAATATAAACAGAATTATATTGATAAAAATATAAAAAGAGAAAGGAGCTAATAACTACGTCAGTTTGTATTTCTATAACTATTTTATCGATAGAGTAAAAAAAGTGTCAGAAGTATTTCAATTTATCCCAAAAGATGGCAGTGTAGTACGACATGAAATATGAAATAACCTAATAAAATCGCGTGTAATCATGTGTGGTTTTGCACTAGCTTGAATTGTTATTGAGAGATAGATAAATTTAGAAAGAAGATGAGTTTGTTTGTTATAAATAGGTAAATAATATGTAATACTTATTAAAGAATGGTAATCTTGTTTACGTATTATTTGTTAATTTTTATTTAATATGTATGTATTTTATACAGATATGAAGGTGAAGACAAAGAAGAAACTGAAAATGAAACAAATAATCTTTCTGAATTGTTAAAGAAAATAGAGGAGCGTAAAAGACAAAGAGCTGCAGAAAATAATGAATCCACATTAGATGTCGATCAAAATGATTTAAATAAACCTAAGAAAAAGAAGAAGAAAAGTCTGCTTAATACAGATGAAACTAATGATTTACATATTGAGATCAAAAATGGATTTAATGAAAAAATTAGTGAACAAACTACAGAAATGGTCAAAACAGCGACAAAAAAGAAAAGGAAAAGGAAAGATGATGAGAGTGAACATGCTTTGGCACAAGAAAATGAAGAATTAGAAGAAAAGAACAAAAATTTAACAAATGAAAAAGGAGATGATACTGAAAATTTAGCAAATACTGCAAATGTCACAGAAAAAGAAATACCTTTGCAGAATCATTTTGTAGTGTTAGGTACAAAATCTCGAAAAAAGCAACGTGAAGTTAAAAGAGTATTGCCAGACTGGCTAGCACATCCAGAGATTATATCTGCTGATTTGAATAGCGGACCTAGTTTGCAGGAATTAGATTCAATTTTGGATGCTAAATTGATAAAAGTCTTAAAGGCTAACGGTATTGTTAAATTATTTCCAGTTCAATCTAATGTCATAAAATGGTTACACAAGTGCAACATGGATAGGAAATTAGGGCGATGGCCGAGAGATACTTGTGTATCTGCTCCTACAGGAAGTGGTAAATATCTGCAATAATAATTAATAATTATAATAATTATGTATAATATGTGATCTTATTGAAATGATAAAATGTGTACATGTTTTTTCTTTTATGATAAAAAAATATATATATATTTCTTCTTTTATTTTTAATATTATTTTTTTTAAATTTTATTTATATTAAATTTTATTATAGGCAAAACCTTGGCTTATGTATTGCCAATTATACAGGAACTGCAAACACGATTGGTACCAAAAATACGTTGTCTAATTGTTCTACCAGTACAAGAATTAGCTGCACAGGTTCATAGAGTAATGCTCACTTATACATCTCACACAAATTTAAAAGTGGGCTTGCTTTCAGGTGCATTTTCGTTTGAACAAGAGCAAAATAGTATAATTAAGAAAAGTATGTATTTATCTTTAATACCTTTAATGATTTAAATTAATATATAAAAACTTAACAAAAAAAATATTTATACAGCTGAAAGGGGAAAGTATTACTCCACAGTGGATATTATAATTGCGACGCCTGGCCGTTTAGTGGATCATATATTAAAAACTCCTGGATTTTCTTTCGATTCTTTAAAATTTCTTGTTATCGATGAAGCCGATCGCGCAGCGGAATGGATGCAGTATTTACCTGAGCCTCACTCTCGCGCTCCTATTTTAACACTTGGAAATATACACTCCAGGTTAATTTTTCAGTAGAAAAATATTAAAAATATATTTAAATATTATATTTTCTGATATGGGAACAATTTTTAAATATAAAAATATAACGATTATTTTATATGTGTCATTTATATTAATTTATTAAATTTTTAACAGCAAAATTACGCCAGCTCAAAAACTATTATTTAGTGCGACCTTGTCGCAAGATCCTGAAAAGTTGAGCTGGTTAGGACTGTTCCAACCAATACTGTTTACGACCGTTGTGACCGACAAAGATACGGATGTAAATTTGGACAAGATTGCGGGTGATTTCATCGGACGTTATACGAGTCCGGGAGAACTGACGGAACTCGCGATGGAATGTAACGTCGAATACAAACCAGTTGCGCTGTATCAGCTGTTGACGAGGCACGATACCATTTCCAAGACTCTCGTTTTCACGAATTCCGGGCATACCACGCACAGACTGGCGCTCTTGATGCAATCACTCTTGTCGAAGCGGAATGTCGCGGTCGGAGAATTATCCGCGCAACTCGCGCCGAAGCAACGTGAAAGTGTCCTCGGCAGATTCGCAAGCGCTGAGATACATGTGTAAGTTTTACATTTTATCAAGATAAAATAATTAATTTTATAGAACATAATTTTTTCTGTTTTAACATTATGATTTAATTTTTAATTGATCGTCTTCATTAAAAAAATAAAATAAATATAGATTGTACTTTTTGTGAAAGTAAAGGAAGAAATTGGTTAAAAATAGTTTCAATAATTTATAATTAATTTTGATTGCTCGTCTAGATTAATAAGCTCAGACGCGCTGGCTAGAGGTTTGGACATTCCGGATGTACAACTAGTCGTATCTTATGATGTCCCGAAACACATCAAAGGCTATATACATAGAGTCGGTAGAACCGGGCGAGCGGGTAAATCGGGCATTGCAATAACTCTGCTCACACCTAATCAAGTTGGGATATTTAAGCAAATGTTAAGTGGTGCACATAAAGTCGTGCCCAATATCGAACGAATAGAATTCGATGACATGGCGAAACATAATTATCTGGATCATCTTAAAAAATTAAAGGACATTCTTGAGAAGGAGAAAAATAAAAGCTTAGAACAAATGAAAGCTATTAAACGTAGACGTGTAATGAATGTGACTAAGCAAAATAAAAATATAGAATAATTTTTTATGTTAAAAAAGAAAAATAAAGAAAAAAATGTTATAAGTTCTTTTCCTGTGTAAGCTCTCCTGTATTATTTGTACTATTACTATTCGAAAAAGTGCATCTGATAGAGCTAATACTTATTTAATTGTTAATATTAAATTCTTTTCCATGCTGTATAAGGTACAGAAACGTATACAGATAATAGGGTAACATCGATAATAACATTTTATTGTCTGAGATTAATAGTATCGTACATCATGCGCATTCCCTATCATAATTCGTTCTATGGATAGTCGCGATATATCTTGTTCGAACTGTATACTAATTATTACTCCCATTATTTTTTATTCCGTCGAAGGCAAGGTATTCACAGTTTTACAAAAGATAAACGGCATCGTTCGTTTTGGATAACGACGCAGACACAAGTTATTTACTATTATTGCTGTGTATAATCTCATTGCTCAGAACTGATTACATAAACTGTTATTTATTATACTGAAAATAAAATTACATGGAAATGCTTCATTATAGCTTCTTCTTATTTTTCTAAAGAATTTGTTGATGAAAAATTATATGATGTTTCGAATTTCACAGAGATGACCACAGCATACAATGATAATCGTAAACGCGCAATTATTGAATTACAAGTTACAAGAATGCCATGTTTTGAGTCGTGAAATTTGAAGAATGAAAATTTAAAATACTAAACGGAATAATAAAAATTGGATACTTAAAAAAAAAAAAAAATTTTTTTGTACATAGTATAATGCAATCTACAAAGTACTGAAAAGACAAAAATATCAGAAACATTATCCAATATATATGTATGGCTTAATTTATAATCAGTTTTATAATTAATCGTAAGCAACATTCTTCATAGGATACGTATTATATTTTACATATATTTAATATTTATAATATTTTTTGTCACATATTAATATATGCCATCTAAATTTTGATTTCCAACATTTGTATAAACAATTATTTTCTCTTAGGAATCGCATTATTTTCGCATGACATATTCAATTACACGACTCGGACTAAAGTTCGGACACCCTCAAATTTGTAATTCAAACTTCGGGTATGTGTCGGAATTATTACTATAATTTCATATTGCGCGGTCGCAGTCAGCGAGATTAAATCGTGGATTAAATCGCATAGATACTGAAATAACTATTTACTTAGAAATTGTTGATTTCTCGCGAAAACAAACTTTCTTAATTCACTTTTCAACATGTGCATAGATTCCCATTTAATCAAACCACACACCATTAACATTTCGTTCGTCGGAAGTCAGAAGCGAATTACGCCACTAGGATCTATAGACAACTTTCTACTTCTGTATCAACTTTCGACTCTCATTATATTTTGGAACCCTCATCGTTTACATGAGCTATATTATTTTGGATCGCTCATATAAATTTGTGTCTTTATATAAAATATGGATAAAAGATACATATTTTTGATTAAATTTTCATTAAAATATAGATATTTTAATAAAAAAATTAAAGTCTTTGAAATATATTTGATGGGATTCTAGTTTTTAAGCTTCGATATTGTTATAAGAACAATTAAAGCTATATTTCTTAATTAAACTTTTACTATTTAAATTTCTATTGCAAATTAAAATAACAGATTCAATGAAAAATGTTAGAATTCAAAGTGCTAAATTAATAATTGAGGCGAAATACTTGCAATTTTATATTAGCTGTTTTCTTACAAAAAAATATTTATAATGAATCAATACAGAGATATTTAGTAGAGATACTTGTTTTTATTCCAGATTTCGCGTATTTGTAGTTTTAAATCCTCGCAATCCTTTTACTCTGTATTCATTAAAAATTAGCAATTAGATTGCCGTGATGTATATGGAATAGGCAGTGTATAGGCAGTAGGGTCAGCAACTTTCAGTCATTTACTGTTATATTCGACTTTTAATTTTTATAGGGAATATATGAGGATCTGATGCAAAAAAAGCCATATATAATGAACTATGAATGTAAATCGTGGCAGTATAAATATGCACTGCGAAAAAGTTTAATAAAAATATTTCGCAAAACTAAGTAAAATTTGATTAAATACAATATTTAAAGAAAGCAAAAAATTCTCGATTTTATTTCACAAATTATATATATTTGAAAATAGCAAATGTAAAAAAATAACTTTAATTTCAGATACTTTATTATGATAAAACTGAAAAATCTAAAATTATATAACGAAAATATTTATTTGAATAAATTTATTTTATCAGATTTTCATATATATTTTCTATAAAAATTAAAAGTTAAATTGGAAATTTATAAACAAATTTATTAAATTAAATTATAGAAATAAATTTATGTAAAAGTAACAAGAGATTTTTTGTAATTGCCAATCTTTTTTCTGTGATGGAACAAAACCTATTGATGTATCCCGAAAGTTTAACAACTCGATAAAAGCGTCCGCTTCAATTACTGTTGTCTGAATTCTAATGAACGAGCCAGATTCACATTTATATGTTATATATATATATATATATATATATATATATATATATATATTTATATTTATATGTTTAATATATCTTATGCAGTATATATGTGTATATATATATATATATAACTGTATGTAGATATATACGTATTGTGTGCATAGAGGCAATACTTTTATCTTTCATGTTCATTATGTTACAATTGCGAATCCATCTCTTCTATGTCACATTATTACAAAATCTACCCTCGTTTGAGGATACATCGAATCGAACGAGTCCCTAAATGCTTACGTCGAAAAAATCTGAATGTTCACACCTGTGGTATTTACACTTACATATGTATTCGTTAATATGTAATATACGAGCGTATGTACATACATTAAACGTGGTCCTATATGATTCATATGTCTCGTTGCTGCGTATATGTATTTTTCTTATATTTAACGCCGATAATTTCTTCGCGTTTTTGTAGTAGCATATCTTATGACGAAAGGATATCCAATGGGTTTTGCCTAATGAGATTCTGTATATTATATATATGTATATATATATATGAAATGTACATTATGTATATTGCACATATATAGAATATATAAAAAAAATTACGCGTTTTCTCTCGATTACATATATAAAATAATAAATTAAACAAAACGTTTGTTGCAATGGCGTATTTTTTTAAGAATGAAATACTCTGAATTACTTTGAAATTTTTTTTTTGAAGAATAAAATTCTCTGAAAAATAAAGATAAATAAATATAAAATATGATTTTCTTCAATTATAATTTCAAATCTAATTTACTTTAAAATCTTTTCGTCAAGTACTTTGTAACTATAATATGAAAAGAGAAATGCGCGATTTTTTATATACCCTGTATATATATATTACATAGAGTGCGCCAAGCAATCTGTGATGTACTTAAAAACTCGCCGGATTTTTACAAACTATAATTGTTATGAAAATTTATGACATATATTGCAAAGGCATTAAGGCAAAACAAATAAAACAATACTTTTTGTACATTTAATATGATACAGTATTGACATTTTTATTATATATATTAATTCATTTATAAGTATTTATAAATCACATAAAAGTCCCACTTATTAAATGAATAATATAACTGCGATAATAAAATACCATTTATCTTATTAAATATAATTAAGTTAAAAATCTGCGAATTTTATGAACATTTTCGCGGCACGATATTTACTAAATGAAATAACGAAAAGAACGAGAAAAATCGGTCTTTTCTAGCGAGTTTTTAAGCCGAATGAATGTTCGATCTGATGAGACTTCACTATACCGTATTTATTGTCGTGCTCTCCGTTTTCTGCATACGTATTACAGTATATGTACGTCGGCTCATCTAACCGTAAAAGTGCACCGACCGAATTAAGCCGCGTCAATTTGCGATAGTCAAGCGCACATTTAGTCTGCCTGTGTCGTGATCGCGACAGATGAAAGATAAAAAAGTATCGTGGAAGACGCGAAACGGGGCTGCAAAACGATCGCTGGTGAAATAGGAATCTGAGCCTGAGTGAATCTCGAATGAGAGTCTCGTCTTTTTATTTGAAAAAATTTTATACTTTATCGATTCTTTATATATTTTATATGATGCATTCAACATATCTCGCAGCAATAATAACTAATAAAATAGATAGTCATTATTGCTGAAAAATGGAAAAATATATACATATAGAATAATTCATAGGAGATTTCACGTAGATTTTAGGTAAATTAATTAGTTCAGCTTATCGTATTTCGTTTGATTAAAAAAACTCATGAGAGAGAGAGAAAGAGAGAATTTATTTTATATCATATATATATAAATAAAATCTTGATATTTATAAATATGATATAAAATATACAGAATCGATGAAGTATAAAAAAAATAATAAAGTAAATAAAGTAAATCTCAATTAAAAATTAGACTCAGGCTTTTTTAATTCTCATACTAATGACATTTTTAATGTTTATATAGCAAAATTTCAAAAGATTTAAAATTTATAATCAATCTGATAATAAATGTTCACTTTAGTTATATTTTCTTTTCGAGTGTAAAAGGAACAACTTATACCCTGGAATACTTGTCAATTACAACCCGTATATTTTTAACTCTAAGCGACACGCACATTGATTTGCAAGAACTGTTAAGGTCGAATCAGAAAGTTCATGCATCGCATAGACTCTGCGTTTCTTTTATGCAATATTTTTTAAATAGTTTATAATTGAAAATAAAATTAATCTCTTTTGCAAAAATAACGAAAAATAAGAATAAGATATATTATTCTTCGACTTTTATATCTATTGATTATCTATTGATTTCTTTATTCGTATGTTTAGCTTTTTATACAATATATATTAAATTTTATTTTCATCACGAGCATCGTTAAACAATGCTATGAAAATATTTTTGATCGAAAAATGAAATTTCGCCAATTTAGTCACAAACTCCTGCAACATATGAATGTGAATGGTACAGAGAACTCATCACACAGTTCTTCCATACATTTCAACGTTGCTTTTTTTCGCGTTCGTCGTGTTGCCGGAGAGAGTGCGATACATGAACTTGCTTGACCTGTATTTTACCTACAGTCCGATTAATCGCCGGTTACATTTAAACAAGAGAAAAAGAGAAAGAGAGATAGCGTCTCTCTAACTCCATGTGTCAGTCGAATACCGCACTGACATCTCCTCGCATATATTTACACAGACTCTGTCGAAAGTTTCGTCATTGTCTTTTTGGTCGCATACACAGATATAGTTATATAGACCGAGCATTAATGATGGTAGCCTGAAGAATAAAGAGAAAAAGAGAAAGAGGGAGAATCTTAAAAAATTACATTTCTCTCTAACAAAAATTGCATAGGCACAAATGAGAGAAACGAAATCCTTTTTTGATTCTCTTTTTCTGTCTTTCTCTTTTTAAATCTTACTTTCTCTTCTTTTTTATCTGGCCTTCACTAACAAAGCGTTGTGCGCGTAAGACCAGCTCGGTCTATATATATTATGTCTATAGTGTCGCGCCGCAGTGATTACATCTGATCGTATCTAAAAGTCCTTGTTATATCGAATAATGGGAAGACCTATTTCTTTTTCTTTTTTCAGCATGGATCTGCACACGCTCTATCTTTTTGACTCTATTCCCATCACGAGCCTCAAACCCTCGTACAATGCTATGGGAACATTTTTGAAAAAAGCTGGAATTCGATTTCATCAATTTGTAACATTTATAACGTAAAGACATAAAAATTGAAACTTAATATGATAGCTTTGAATAAAACTTTAATATATTTGTCTCTCTTTGCGTGGTAATATCTAATTAATTATAAATTATATCTTCGAATAATTACTTCTAATATAATTATAGCTGAAAAAAAATTAATACATCAAGTAGATTTATTTTTAAAATGATACTTTTCTGAAGCAGCTTCACGAGGATCATTTAAATGATTCGGGAAAAGAGCCATTTTCTCTATTCTGTATATTCTTTCTATTTGCTCTCGTTCTTCATTCATATTTACAATCATCGCCAGAGGGACTGACCTGCCTAGATAGGATTGTCGAGTACGCACGGCGCGTCCCTTTGCGTTACTTTTGAACGACTAATGAAGATCCACGAGGGGTTTCTAACTGACCCCTTTGTTTGCTTTTCTAAGTTCATTCATTAATCTCCATTTTGCATTTATAATAGCTTCGTACGCAAATGGTGTCCGAAGATACTCATCGCGAGATATTAATTCTCTCGATGAATAAGTAATTAAGTATGATGTCGCACGCGCATACATTGATCTGATTAAATTTATTTTCCTTTATAAAAAGATAATATTTTTCGTATGTGTTTTGGTGTATTTAGCGAATCTCGATCAAAGCTTTGTAAACTGCAATCTTTTACAAAGATATTAGATTCTGGAACAAAGGGGCATGGCAAATTTATAATGTTTACCTTAAAATTGTGATTAAAAGATAAAAGCTAGCAGAGCATTTATATAGATGATAGGAGGTAATGAAGATAACAACTAGCCAGTCGATGTCAGATTCCGTCGGAACCAGGCTTTCTTCTCTTAAAAAGATTGGTTTTCTACTTTCCAAAGGTATTGGATTTCGCGATCGATACTAGAGCGGAACGCGTAATCCGAGAAAGCATTTTGACATCGCAAAAAACGTTAAGTACATCAAATATTGATTAAAGAAGAAGAGTCTGTAATATTCAGAGATTCCTCTATAACGATTACTTCCTTTAAATATATTCTGACAAGCTTTAAGAGAAAATTTTGTCCATGATTAACCGTGGAGATAATCGTTTCCTGTACAATGCAGCTATTCTGCAGTATTAAATGTCTCAAGATTGACTCTTATCTAGAAAAAAAATATATGGATATTCCAATAAAAATTGTAAAAAGATTGTACAATTATATTTGATATAAAATATATGTATATATAACATAATATCCAATCTATTTCAGCACATACGTTCAAAATTAGATATTCGATAATGAAAAGTTTTGAGTCATAAAATTCTAACAAAAAATATTTCAGAAATTCATAATAATTAGAAACATGCGGCGCATTGATCTTAATACATATAAAAGTATTTAAGTCTTCAACAAGCAAAGATCTGTCAACGTTAACTTCTAAAATGTTAATTTTTTTACCTGCATCGAAAAATCAAAGTCTTCTAAATTTACCGATTTTCGAGATCCCGAATCAGCTCGTGGATCTTCATAAGCGTCAGTTCTAATGTAATCCTTTATCCCTGACACCGATGCCATCTTACAGAGTAGTCGGCAGAAGAAGCAGAAGCAGAATCGCGGACACCGAGGGATGCCTAAAATTTGCGGCGTTCGAATCGATCCAAGGTGGCGGCAAGGAAGGTGCGATGAAGGGCCTGTCAGTCCTCTGGCCCTCCTGGAGAGTACTGCCGACCATGATCTGCGTGGTGCCAAAATCATCCTCGCTGCCGATGGAATCGGCCTCGCCAAAGTCGCCCGTGTGTCCTCGTCTGTCGTTGCTATTGTTGCTCTTCTTCTTGCCCTTCGGCAATATCTTCTTACGCGACTTATCTATATTCTTAGGAATCGTCGGTGTCGTCTTCGCGAACAACTGCAGCTCTAAGAAAAAAAGCAAAATATCTATGAAATTAGTGTAATGTTACATTATATAATATAATATAAATATAATAACAGCGTTCAAAATTATATTTTAATGGAACACTTTTATTCAAAGATTGATTTAAATTTTTAGGATTTATTGATAAGAATCATTAGGTTATTGATTAATAATAAAAAAATTTTTTCGGTTATTAAATACATGCATATATGCGCAAGATGATAGTATATATTAGGTAAAGTACTATTGTCGGATGCATCATAGGGTGCATCGCTCATCTTGTATTGAAATCAGAATATTGGAGAGCTGAGGAAATATTTTTTTTGCGATCATATCGAGATTCTCCGTACCTTGCAATCGTACTGAACCGTCAGCCCTGCCGAGCGCGTTGACGGACGAGCACACGTACCCGCCGAAGTCCCGTTTTTCCAGAGAATTGACAGTGAGATTCATTTGCCGGGAGTAGTCGCTCAACGCGTACTCCGACATTGTGTATTTGTCATTGCGCAGCAGCTTCTCGCCTAAATAGAAAGCGAACGGAAATATTGCGCTACTTCTAATTGCATAGCTCTTGCACAGAAACATTCTCGAGGGAATTCGATTTCTCGTGTAAAAACGATCAGAAATATGAGCGTGCGCTATAGGCTGATTAACTGTTCAATAAAAAAATTGTATTTATTATATTCAAAAACATATATAATAATAAATGGTCCATTTAACTCTAACGTTTAATTGAGAAACAGTTTTTACGTGACAATATACTGATTTATGTGTGTTTACTCTATTCCTAAAATTTTTAATTTAATATTAAAGACATTAACGTTTTGTGATAATATATAATTCATAAATTTATTTATAAAGAAGAATTAATAATAAAGAATAAAGGAAAGAAATTAATAAAGAAAAAAAATTATTTATACTTATACTTGAATTAATAATTAATAGCATAGATATATAATAATTACTAATAATTTTTTTATAACTCCTCCATTATAGTGATATGTATAATTAAATTTTTGTTATAACTAAGATAATTATTCTCGTATGTATCTTTTCAATACTTGCCTATCGTTTATTATGCGAAAAACTAATGTCTTAAAATCATCATTCGCGAGAAAGTGCCATCAGTGTTAATCAAACATTTTTGAATGCATTGAATTTCACGATAGATTTACGAAGCTTTTTTTCAGGAGCAATGGCGCGCGCTTACCAGCAATTCACAAATTTACATATTTGATTAACGCAGTCACCTGGTGAGTAAAAATCTTTCTGTGATAAAACTATAGTATAGTAAATGGCGTAAAATGCAGATTTTCAATCTGACACAATTCTGACTTGCAATCAATATTATTATGGCATGTCGAAGTTAACGCTTTAGAAATTGATTGCAGCGATTCTATAGTTAATCAAGAATGTAAATTTGTTGGTGTAACATGACATAATACAAACTACAGGATGTTCAATTAATACTGAATCAAATTTCAATAATTTTTTTATCGATTTAATTCTCGAGAGATGTTTCTTGTTCAGCAATTTACATATTCAAAAATACTTGTGTTATTTTAAAGTTTTTATATGAGAAAATATTATTCATGAGATAATATTATATATACTTATCAGATTAGTAAAAAAGAATCTTTCTCTAAAATTGGATTAACAAGATTTGTAAGATAGCATATTTTGTACAACAAATAAAATGTAGAAATATAAAACAGTCTGTAGTTTCTTACCTCCTTCTCTGTACCAAGTATTCATAGCGTGTGGTGATGCTTCGACGTAACATTGCAAGACAACATCACTATAAATCGGTGCAGCCACCAATTGATTCGTCACTTTAATAGCAGGTTTAACTGAAACAATCGAGCATTAAATTGCTGCAATTAAAGATACAAAAGTATAATGTCATATATTATGGATCGATGTAAAATAGTACGTTACTCCGTCATCATTCTTAAACTTTGAACAATATTGTGTTAGAAATAATATAAATAAATGTGATATAATAATAAATGTGAAAGTATGTCATTAATATAGCAGTTAAAATATCGAATAAAATATTTTTTATTTCTTTATAAATATCAATTTTATGTTTTATTTTTTTATATCAATATTTGTATTTTTTAAGATTTATTATTTGCAATAGAGATTTATTATTTTGCAAAATTTATTATTCCATCACAACACACCCACAGAACTGTTAACAGTTTGACTATTAAAAACTGAAATTTATAGTATAGTATAGTATACGAAAAAAGCTTACATTATTTATAAGCGAGCAAAATGGTATAGAACATAAAATGAAATAAGAAAAGTGAAATGAAAAGTGCATTTTGAATCCCGAAGGAGCCTGCGTGCTGCTCATTCAAGAATTAACTGGTTTCGCCGCATTTTGCGCCCGTGCGCCCCCACCCTACCAGTTAATATTACATTTCGTAAGCAGAGCGAATTAATGTGAAACCCTTTGCGCTCAAATATTTACACGCCTCGCGACGACGTGGATAAATCGTCAAGCTCGCTGGTTAATTTTGCAGCAGCGCGCGGCCGGAAGTTTTGCGCGCGAAAAAAACGCCCTATGCGAGCGGACCACGGAGGGTTGATAAAGTTTTCATTTGCGAATGCCGTTAGCCAAATTGCACGGTGATTTTTTATTCTTCCGATACGCGCAGCGTAACATTGCGAATGTATGCGCGTATTCTCGGTAATTTGATTGTATTTCCCAGGAGGATGTTATTGACACTTTATTGTTACTTTCTGCAACGACGTGGTTTTCGTATTTAGTAATAAAAATTTGGAGAGACTGTTAGAAACCGTCAAAAATTGAAACAAATAATTTTATGATTATGTTATTATTTTGTTTATTTTTTAAAGAAGTATATAAAAGTTTGTGATATGATATAGCAAAACAAATAAAAACATTTATAAAAATAAAAGTAAAACCCTTTCGAATTACAATATCGAGCAATCAAGAGACTCAAAATAATTAATATATACATAATTATAACAAATAATGTATATATTAATATATTACATGATACTTTTTATTGGTGTCGACAACGTCGGCCTAGTTGATTTTTAGCGGAAAGTTTTTGAATAAAAATTCTACCATGTAACATAGGTATTGAAAAATGTTTCAAAGTTCAACTCAACCTCATTTCCTATTTCAAGCCTATCGGTATATTCTTAACCACAGCGCCCGGATGATAGTTTTACCGCCGATATTGAAGAAGCATTAATAATCGACATGATTCTCGTCCTAATAATTAAAGTACATTCTGTCGATAAGAGCGCTTATGATCGAAATAAAACCGATACACATATGTATCTATAAATTTATGTACATATAATTATATTAATATAGAAATCATTTATCATGAAATCAATTTATCGGAATAAAAACTGTATAATTTAAAAGTATTTTAAAAATGTTTATGTAAATATTCTGAATTTTAAAATAATTAAAAAATTTTGACTCTGTAATTTACAATCCTTGAATTTTTCTATCTTCGCTAGAAAAATTTTTTATAACGGATTTTCGATAAAGTAAATTTAATTATACATTGCTTCAATAGCATTGTAATTATTATATGTTTACCCTATCTCATTAAATAATTAATTAACGCAGCCATCTTTATCCATCTATCCTGTCACACGCGAACTTGTGAAGGATAGTTACAGGCGAGTAATTATGCAGTACAGGGACGAATCTAGAGAATTCTCCAACGTGGTAATCTCTTTAGCATCAAAACCTAAATTTTCATGCAAACAGTGTTTCACTGTAATTATTATCCATAATTTTAACAATTTATTTTGTGGACATAATGTATTTTGCGTTCAAAATTAAAATTTCTTCTTTTTTTGAAAATATGAATGACGGCATAAACGCTGTTTGGCAATTTCGAAAGCAACCAGGATGATGTTTGAGTGCTCTGACCTGCTAATGTATGCAACGCGACGACTAATGTATGCAACGTAACGACGGCTAATTAACGGCCGCAGCGCGACATGATACTTACAGTGAACATCAACGGAATAACGCTTGCTGACCGTTGGTGGTACGTTGTTACTGGCTATACACAGATACGAGCCCATCTCTTGCCGAAGCACCCCCGTTAATTCCAGTGTCTCGCCAACAAAGGTTTTCACAGCTGCAAAAGAATCAAAAGAATCAAATCAATATTATAGAGTATACGTCTCTTCAAGGGGGTAAAGAGGGGTCTTATAGTATTCTCGGAATTGAGAATCTATATCTTGATTAATGCACCAAGTAAAATATATGCATATGTCTTTCACGCGTTTTAATTTTCGCGAATTACTAATCTTTAAAATTTTACGCACTACCATCCGCGATGGCTCTTAATCGCTCTTTTCTCGGGTATGATGTTGTTTAATACATAACAGAGTCTAATTTCTTTATCTATTTATTAATTTGTTAATATTATAGAGCTTTTATAATAATTCCCAGCACATATATTTCCCGTATAAAGTATATCTAACAAACAAGATAATTTGACAATTTAATTATACATTTTTTTTAAAACTTGAATTTTCATACGTTTTAGCAACAAATAATAAGCTTTGATACTTTTGAGTAATCGATATATGCGCTTTCTAATAATAGATTGCTATTTTCCAACTACGCGCAATATGATGAATATGTTATCTGATAAAATTTACTAAAATCTACATTATATGAATATAGTATCGTTTATATAGAACCATTCTACCATTCTAATATGCTTTTCATACATCAAGTTATATATTTAACATAAAAGCACTAGTGAGATAGTGCACTAGTGAGTAACATAATAGAATCATGTGTTGAAATATTACATTGAAATTTTTATGGCTTATACTACTGGGATCGCCAGTTTTCAAAAAGATGAAAATTAATATTAAACTATCGCAGAAATGATTTATTTCACGATTCAATATTTATATGAAATGATTTAATGAAAGACAGAGATTCGCGACGTTTGTGACTGAATAAAAATAACAGGAAAAATGAAAAATTGCGTTATTAATTTTGTTTCGTAAGGTAAAATCTCCAAAGTTTTTAAATGATACATATGTATTTTATTTTATTGCCGCAATATGCACATTGCTTATTTTCACACGTCAAAAAAATCATACATAAAATAATTCCAAATAACAAAAATTCTAATAAACTAATAAAACAAAACGATTTGTCAAATCGCTCTTTAATTTCTTCTAATATACTTCAAGAATTTGTATAATAATCGTAAGAGAAATTATATTTTATTGTCAAGCGCTTTTTAATCGGAGTTAACATAATTTTCACGTATTTATAGCACGTTTGAGATCTTCTCCTCTGAACGCTCTCCATTATCCAATCAATATAAAAAAATTATGTCCGAGAAGTGCTACTTAAATTTTCATGGAATGCAGTCAGAGTCAGAGCTCGTTCCAAGGGGCATTGAATTTCGAGCGTCGTTACCTAAGGCGTGTTGTAAAAGTTTACAACGTATCCAATCCCGCAATTTCCCGAAACGTTCGTCGTTTAGCCGCCGAGAAGGAGTCACGTCGTAGCGAATGACAGATTCGCGAGGTGAGGAGATCGCGATTCCCGGGTGGGTGGCCCGTTTCTTCTATGCATTTCATCTCTTACGATATGCGGAGAGGCGAGCTGGAAAGGGGCGACTTTACGACCCCTCGCTCACGCGCTATCGTTCGTTATATTTCGTCCTTCTCTCTCGTCCGCGGATCCGTCCCGCCAATCTCCAAGTCCTCCCCTGCGTTTAACGAGACTCCTCTGGGTGTCTATTTTTACGACGCTTCGAAGATCAGAGTGACATGGGCGAGCGAACGAGTGGAACAAGTCAGAAGGAGAATGGTGACAATCGTAGGGCGAAAATTGCACGAAGCGACGATTACGAACGAAGAATTTCTTTTTTTTATGTCTGCTTCCTCTCCACCCACCTCGCATTTTCTCCATCCGCTTTCCTTTTTTTTTTTTCACGCGAAAGCTCCTCGGCTGATCTCTCGAGCGAGAATGACGCTAAGAGGACAGGTCGTCGGAGATTCGGAGGTCCTTCCGGCAGAATCGTTGCTTGTACACGGAATGTACTCTGCGTAGCGGATCCGGGATTACCGGGGTGACGTGGGCGGATTGCTTGTAAGAGCGGTCAATAAGTGCACTTTAACTCGCGAAGAACGACAAGCGGGTCGTCCTCGACATCGCGCGCGACGGTCGTTAACCCTTGTAAACTTTAATCCCTGGGGAGGGATTAATCGCGAGGAGTTTACTTCAAGTTTATGAACTAGAACAATTCTTCTACAATTTCCCTCAATCCGCGGAACGTGTTAAATAAATCTTTGTGAGATATTTCTGTCAATGTAAAGCTTCCGTGATGTTTTACCTCGCGATGGAAATACACACACTCGTGACATTTCGACGATAATGGGCGACGGGACAGTTGGGACGAAAGAGGTGTACAATATATATTTATCGATTTATTTATTTTGCGATTTAACTTGGCGCCGTAATTTATGGTTTTAGACATACACCCCCGTGGTGCATTGTGGAGGGGAGCGTGCTTATATATTTGCCGCGGGGCGCGTAAATTACCATTCGCGCTGTAATTAATTACCAGCGGGCCTGGTAAGCGCGAGAGACGATCGATTATTCCACGCTGATGCGCCTCGACACTTTATCGCTCCGACACTTTTCCAGCCGCGTCGGCACGACTATCTTAATTAAAGAATCGACGGAATCGTCGTTAACGCGAATTGAGACTTCTTCCCGTAAGCTTTATGCGTATCGTTGACTTCCCTTGAACGAAATCCGGTTTAACGACGTGAAAAAAGTAGATATTATCGATGATATTCATCTCGAATGAGTGCATAGATAGAATTCCAGAAGAATTTTTTATCTTTATGTAGGAGTCAAGTATCTCCTATATAAGTTCATTTTTATTAGCGATAAAATCAAACGTTAATCTCGTACCTTATATTATGTATACTCATATAAATTATAATGCACATTTCGTGTAATGCCAAGCAAAAAATAATAAATCACTGATATTGATTACGGAAAATATCCTTTTTCAAAAGGGTAAGTAATAATCGATATCTGATAATTATGAAGAAAGCTCAAAATGATTGAAATGTCAAAAATATGAACATGATAATTAAATGCTTATGTAATATTGAAAAATGGCATAATTAATTATGTAGATATTTTATCAAATTGATGAATATTTATTGATACAAAATAAAGAAAAATATACTTTAAAATGAGAGAGAGAAAGAAAAAAGTAATCTAATAAAAAGGTTGACAAAATACCTGATAAATTCGAAATTAGATTTTAATTTTCCACCTCAAACAGTATTATTTTCTGCAAGGGAGACATACATCACATTGATGTTAAATATGCAAAGAAAATTGCAGAAATGATTTATATACGTAACCGTTGTATAGCTCCTATTTGACGTGTTAAATAAATTAACGTTAAATAAATTATATTTGATATGTAGCAGCAATGAATTACGGCAATTAAGGATGCAATTCAATAATAAAGCTAAGATGACCGACAACGAGAAACTAGAAACCGTGTCGGCATACACGTACGTCACCTATGACCCCGTTTCTACAACATCCACGTCTGCTTCACAGTTAGGATTTATCGTTCAACGCGCGTGTACCCTATATCAGATCAGATATCAATACTTTGAATGTGCGAATTTCTAAATTCCAAACTCTTAATTGCATAAGTACAAATTTCAACTAAAACATTACATTAAAATAACAAATAAATGGAAATATTTTCAAGGCTTTAGAAAAATGCATTTTTTTTAATTTAAAAAATGTTTTTAACCTTTTTAAAACGAGAAATATTGTTCCATCGAATGTGAAAATGAAAATTTCGATAAATAACTATTCTAATACAATTCTAATTAAAGTGTGACATATTAGTGATAATAATCGTATATCGACAATTGATGCAAAGAAGAACTTAATTATTGCGTAATCAGAGTTGGTTTTTGCTTTGTGCGCTGTAACATCAAACACATAATTAATTAATGTGATTATTCCGGCTAGTGAAATGTTATATCAAAGTTGTCGTTTCATTAAATCAATCGCATTGAAAATTCGAGCGCGTGCTTCTCTCTATTACACTATTTTTACATTGCGATATAGCGTTACATGCACATTATCATCATTATGCTAAAATCAATGAGTATCGTTGAAATCGAGAATAGAAAATTATTAACAAATAAGTAAAAAAAACATAATTGGTTACATGATACTATATGATTATAAGGAAAATGAGCACAAAGGAATTCACCGAAATACATAGCCCACTGCTATATATGATAACATAATACAAGATAAATTATTGCCTAACTAGAAAGATTTAATTATCTTTGTGTACTGTGTGATAAATATTATTACGTAAAAAATTGTCGAGTTTACAAAACTTTTTGCAAAAATTAAATATAATAATAAAATAGAGATTTTTCAACTCTATATAAATTCTATAAATGTTATAAAGCTTATAAAGGAGAGCGCTGTTTTTGGAATATACTATATAAAATAAATCCGGTTTATAATATTGCGCCCATTCGTATATCCCAGCGAATGTAATTTGCACTATTTGACTCTGTTGAATCTGTTATTATTCCAGCGAAATATATAGTCATCTTGCCGAATGCATTCGCAGAATATGCGGTTTCAAAGGAATCCCGGATAACTCGATTTTACGAGAATACCGGGTTCTGTGAGAGTTGCGATTCAAAGCATATTCTAAAATATCAACAGTAAGTGAACTTACATTGAGTAAGTTCATCAGAGCATGGACTATGCATAGCGGTTTACGTGTTACATTTTGAGTTCGATTATATTTGAACCTATGTATAATGTACGTATTCGCTAATGCACGTCTATTGAATGCCTCTCACATTGTGACGAACGTTAATTATCATTTACGATAATGATATCAAGCAGCGGAGGCTTTAAATGCAATTCAATTCTAGGTAGATCGATTCTACATTATCATTATGATTATTATTATTATTATTATTATTATTAAAATCCGATGTTATTATTATTAAAATATTAAAATAGTATAATTAAAAAAGAGATAATTCGCAGACGTATAATTTTTAATTATAATAATTTTTAATTATAGTAATATTACTTTTCTTTTCATTAAAATTAATTCCATCTTTTAAAATGCTCGATTAAAAAAAATAAATTCTGCATTAAATTATAAGAATTAATTATAAGAATGCAATTTTTATAGAATCAGATTGCATTAATCAGAATCATTTTAGAATAAGATTAATAAAAATGTGCTTACATTGTTTCTGTCCATCTTCTCTGAGAATGATGTTGCGACCGTCCTCTCGTTTCCAACTGACAGTAGGTTCTGGCACACCAGTAGCGATGCATCGCAATCTTATATTGCCTCCTTCGAGAGTGACCATACCATTTGCAGTCTCATCGTCTATTATGTCGGGTGGTACCATTACTTCCATGTAACCCATCTGAAACAAGAAAAAACACAAAATATCCCACTTTGAGATTGAGATTATTATTGCAAATTTAATTTTTTCAAAAAAACAAATGGTCTTATTACATGTTGATACTTAATAAAAAAATATTTAGTCTCTAATAGATTTTATATATATATACTGTATAATTTTGAATTTTAATAAACTATAATTCTTCAATTTTTCAACTTATATCGTGAGATTGTTTTAATTATTATTTAAAAATCACTTTAAGTTGCAGATATATCGAATGTTACTAAAGACTTTTGTTATCACGTCTTTTTATGCAACAATAATCGAGTTATCTCATTATTAAAATCATTTCTACCAAAAGAATAGGAACAAATTAATTATATTTTGACGTATTATATTGAGCATGAAGAAGATCAAAGAATTAAAAAAAATAAAATTTCTTTATGTAGGATAAACAGCCTGTAAAGAGACCATATTATGGCGGTCTGGCAGAGACAAGGCTCGAACTACTCGCCGTAGAAAAAGTACATTGTTTTACGGTCCTGTGCACATACACGATGAGGGTATCTTCGCACGAGTACAATGTGTGAGATTATATATAGAATTTTTACTAGATATGGAATTGTGCACGTATCCTATTCGATTCAATGAAACTAACATGCAAGAAAATATACAGTTTATAATAAAATAAAATAAATAACGGTTTGAACTTTCTGCTACAACGATATTTTAACATTAACGTGAAATATTTATTATTTAAATTCTACGTTAGTATTGTTAGTGATAACAATAATGTAACCTAAATCACTCAAACATAAAATTATTTCTTTTATATAGTGTAATCATATAGACGAAAAATAAAATTCCCTAACAATTGATAAAAGTCGGATTTCAATCGCGTATATGTGTAATTAAAATAAAAATTTATTTATTTAGTTTAAAACATTTTATTGTATTTTCCATTGAATAAAATAATAAATATTTCAATATTTCTGTTACACGTGTTTCGCTAATTTTTATGTGCAAAAATCTCTCTCTCCACAATTTTTTATAAGCTTAAAAGAGTTTTCCTAATTATAAAAGTAGAGAAAGAAAATACGATATCTTTATCAAATCCCATTAATTAAAATATCATTCATTTAGGATGATATTAATTAAAAACTTTTTAATATTGCAATTTAGAATGTTTTAATGAATCACATTTTAAATATAAGAAAATATATAATAAAATTTGCTTAACAATATTATACATCAAAAGTAAAGTATTTAGTCATGCAAGATGTTTATATAAGAGCAAAGTTTCAATCTTACGATTCAAAAGCAATAGAAGATTTAAGAATCAACAATAATTATATATAATAATAGGGAATTTAATTACAGGTATCTATAATGATATCTCGCAAGTGTGCGATGTTCGGCGTAAATTTCGTCATCGTCGGGTCAAAAATATCACGTGCTGGCGAGGCATCAGTCAACCTAAACCATGTTAGGGTGTTTCGTGGTGTATATTGCTGTGTAAAAAAAGCATTTACGGCCCAAGGCACGTATCGGTCGGGCAGGAATGACGGTCGCCGGTGCGTCACGGATTAACGGTGAAATTTACTGGTCGTGGTGCAGTGCACACATCCTGCAGAATTCAATGCGACCGGCAAAGCGGGAAACCTTCTGATGCAATATACGGCCCTGCCGCGAGATAAAGGGCCCAAAGTGCTCATGATGCAAGCGGGATCAACGATAGAATGCGATAATAGATATATGTGTATGTGACAAAAGAAAAAAAAAGAGATTAAAAAAAGACAAGAGACGAGACTGCCAGAGACTGCTCTCTAAGATTGTAGAACTATGTATATATACAAGAATATATTTAATTACTAATTAATTTGACACGTACACATGAAGTGAATTATGTTGATTTTTATTAATATGAATAGCTTGTACTACTCTCCACATTTTAAGTGACAAAAATCTTTCTTCTTTCAAATTGCATCCTCGTACTTTCTCGCAGACTTCGAGCGTTAGTCTACAAAAGAATATAGCAACTGGCCGGAAGCAATTTAAAGGACGCGCATCTCGTGCGGATAAAACCGCGGTATAAGTAAGACCGATAAATAATCCCGTATCGGCCGACTGCGAGACGGTACAACACACGGGGCTCGGGATTTAAGGCACGAAGGGATATTTCGAGCGGCCGAGAGGTCTAGCAACGGAGCGGCAAAGCCGAGATCTTCCTCGTCTCGGGGAAACAGTCGTTCGAAGCCGTACGACGTGTGCACCTGCCGCACCACCGTCGCCGGCAATAATTTCCCGTGCGCTTTCTCGTACGCGCGTGTAGCCCGAGCTTTGCCGAAAATCTGCATAATTAAAGTTGCCCGACGCGACGTCTTGTCGCGACGATGTTATTCCACTGGGATTGGAATTGCATGCAATGTCAATATTGTACGCTTATCATTAAACTGACCCGACTGTTGATAAAATTGTACAAATAATACTGAAGTAATATACGTACGAATAGAAATTATCACTTAAAATAATATGCGAATAACCATATATTTCTATTTTCCAAGCTTTCCGCGAAATATATTTATTTATAATTAAATTTTAAAAAGTCAGAGAGCTTTTAGGAATACTATGTTACAGTGATACGCTTGTGATAGTTTGATATTTTGTTAGAGGGAAGAGATTTTTTAAAAATCTCGATGCACGCCCGAGAAATAATAAAATAAAACCCAGTAAAACTAAAAAATAAAACGAAATCTAACAATTATAAGAATGAGGCGTGTCTTAATTTTAATTGGAAAATTTTCTACTTCGATTAAAATTAAGTAGTTCCCTTTTATACGTCGACTCTCGAAACGTAGCTGCGGCTGTAGACCGATACTACAATCGATATTACACCGCGAAATAATGGTCGGGGATAAAGAAAAAGAGCGCGTTAAAAAGTTATGGCCAGGCTTGTGTATGGAATTTTAAAAATTCCTTCGTATCCGCGGACAGATCTGGCGAAATTTTACGAAACCTCGATCTTTTTAATCGAATTACGGTCGCCACGCTCTGTCGATGGGAATCGATAAAGCCGCGCGTGTAACGGCCGCCGTGCGCGCAATTCCGGCGCGGAAACGCCGTCGAAAAATAAAGCGTTGGATGGAAGGTAAATGGAAATTAATTTAACAGAGATACGTTGTTATTACGGATGCGCGTCGCAGCGCGTTCCATTGTACCGGATAATATCGTTTGAAGCCTGCGTTTGCGGTATTTCGAAAAATGCGGGCGCCCGGGTATCGTTAAAAAATTAGAGAAAAAGAAGAGGGGGACTTATATAGGTAAATACGAAGATGTGCAGAAACATGCATTTGCGAAAAAAGATCGTATGCTACTTAATTGCGTTATTCGACAACGCTATGTTTTGCAATCTTTAAATCGAGAGAGAGAGTCGAGAGTTTAAATAATAAATCTAATTAATGTATGAGAGAACGCTCACCTGACTGCGCATGGGATCGGTGTTGATTTGACACATGTAAGTACCGGAATCGTTCTTCTGGACATTCGACACGTGCAGTTTCCACGTGTTGTGTCCGTTGTGCGTCACGGATAATCGATTATTGTGTGCCACCAAGTGTGTGTGTATCGCCAGTATCGCTCGGGAATCGGATTTTATCCAGGCTATCTGTACAATAGAGATATACCAGAGATACGAGTGTTATTTCTCGGGATAAAAGAAAATTCGATACTTAATTGAAATATGAATCGAGGATCTTATTAGAATATATTTTATTCAGCCGTTTTAATTTATTATCAATGTAGAAAATTAACTAAATTAAACTTGATACATTTAGTATTAAAATTCACACAATAAAAAATAATTAAAGAAAAGCAAAAATGGCAAATTTAACTTTAATTAAAATTGATGCGTACATTTATGTTTAAGATACGACATAAAATTCTCTGACATGTAATAAATTCGTATCGACGTTTCCAGTAGTATAAACAGGATAAGTCAGACTCGAGAAAAAATATGAGTTTATCCGAGCAAAACAGCGTATAACTCGAAGAAGTACACATTGTGTCGCGTTAACAAGTATAATTTTCTCATCTTGTTCCGGCAAATGTACATGGTAGCATCTTTCGCGTGAAAATTGTGTCATTTATTATAAAAATGTGTTATATAATTGGAAAGAAATCCGAGAGAGCTGCATTTCTTACACATCAGTCTCGATATATAAGTTTTAACAGACAATTTTCTTAATATTCATGCTGCATGCGAGCGATTTTTCACATTTTTTTTACTATAAAAACAAGAATTATTTGAAGAAGGAAATTATACCTTGTACGATTGCAGATGATTAACGACGCAGGTGAAGAAGACGTCACGACCTTGTATCACGGTGTGATTTTCCAAAGGAGCTAAGAACTCGGGCAAAACTTCCGGGGTGATTTGACCTAAAACAATGTGATATGCTTAATTATTTTTAGTTTGTGCGTGTCATTCTTTTTCCTTTATCACTTGCATAAAATGATTAGCGAAGACAAACGCATCACGAAGTACGATACATTTTAATAAAAAGTATTTTCAATGAACTCACAACATAAGCCGAGCTCTTTCGGGCCAACTCGGAGCAAAAAAAATAAATCAAAAAAGAACAGATAAAAAAATATCTAGGACCTAACGCTATAACGCACAATGAAACCGGCAACAGCGAAACATTCGAAAAAAAGATTTACTGTGCACTTGCAATCAATTTGCGAGTTTCAACTCTCCGCATCGAACACAATAAACGACAAACAAAACGACGCATTTTGCGTTGTGTTACGTTCCATCCTTTTCAATTTCGCCGGATATTACGACGAGGCGATCGCATCGCGCGCTTTGAAAAATGCGATGCACCGCGAACATTCGAAAAAAAAAAAAAAAAGAGAGAAGGAAAGAACGAATGCGCGGCATCTCTGACGAGCGGAGTGTCTCGCGGAATGCATCGCCGTGATTCGCCGCCGATTCGAGGTGTATGCATGAGCGAGCAGCACGCCGCCGATTAGATATTCAAGGCGTAGGTCGAGGATGGGGAAACAAACCCTCCTTCCCTCCCCGCCCCTCCCCTTTCCCACCCTCGCCCGGCCGCATCCAACCGGGTTTTCTCTTCCGCCGGTCTAAAAGAGCAAAGAGAGAGCCACCCATATTCTCGTATCGAATTCTTGTATGCGTTCATGCAAGAAGGGCGATAAATGGAAAAATTCTTGAATCTCGCAGTCGTAATCCGGACGCCGGATCCCGGTTTTCATGGGTCGGTTTTACGACTACCCTCATCGGGCCGTTTCTACCCTCGCTGCTGGCTTCGTTGTACCTTCAATCTCTTCCCTCGCTTCTCCACGCTTTCATTCCGCTCTCTTTCTCCCATCCGACCCTGCCCGGCCATTTTATTAACTAAATTTAATTTTCGCTTTAGGGGAAAGAAGATTGCGAAAATCTCCCGGAAAAAAAAGCATTGTAAACTTATTAAAAGTAACAATCGGATGAGAGAATAATTGATTAGGTATCGCACATTCAGTGAAATATATCCTCGTACGAACCGTTGCTTTTATTGTTGCGCAGCCATTTTTCCAGTTACGCGTTGCTGTTTCCAAGCTATTACATTCTTTTATTACTCTTTGTGATTTTTTAAATTAAATTGCTTCTTTTCTTCTTTTCCATCTAATATATAATATTCTGATATATTAATCTTAAAGAATGCAATAATAGAAATTTTTATTCAATAGCAAAAAATGTGCTCGTACAATTGCATATCCACTCTATTTTTCCTCGGCAATGTTCTCTTTTTCTCCCTCTTCTTGCCTAATGAAGGAGAATTCTAATACTATGCTTAATTTTTCATAAAATCTTGCGAGCGGCGAAAAGTGTGCGTGTATTCACGTGCACCGTGAATACGCATGAATGCAAAGAGAAAAAAAAGAGAGAAAGAGAGAGAGAGAGAGAGGGAAAGAGGGAACATATAACGCAGGCATAGTATGTTCCAGCTTTTATTGCGCCGGAATTTCATTCCGAGTCTAATTGTAATCAGTGAAGTGTAATTCTAGCAATTTGTCGCAAGGATATCTAATTAATTAGGTCCTTTCGTGAGCAGGCAGGACTACAAACGCGCTCGCGCGGTCTGCCATCTCTTCGTTAATTACACCGCGCGCAGGATGGAATTTTTCATCGAAATTATCACGCACCAACCGTCCAGGAAATTAAGATCGCCATGATGCTACGCTGGAATCAATTTCGTTTCTTTTTTTTTCTCCCGTTTCACATCGTTCCGTTTACGCCAACGTAAGGCAAAATTGTGCCGCGAGGGATCTTCGTATAAAAATACATAGTCTCGATTCTCAATATCGCTGGCGGACATGAAATTCTTTCTCGGCAGATGCATTGTGCAAGTTCATCGAGCCAGCTATAATTTTCGTTTATATTATTACATCAAAATATATAGAAATATATAATCTAGATATATATATATATATATATATATATATATATATTTATGAATGTATCACAAACCTCATATAACTTATTCAATTATTCTCGACAAATGTACGTAAAGCGAAGATAAAAAGAGTTTGTAAATCCGTCTCTGCGAGTCTGACGTCGTTACGGCCGACGCTAAAAGCCAATAAGACTGTCAGGCGTTTCTGTCGCGCAATAAGCGGCTTCCAACAAGCGCTAATAAAACAGTTATGCAGAATCTGAAGGCAACTCTCGGCGAATAGTATTAAAAACGATTATAAAAGTCACCGAGCGTCGTTTCTCCGCGTCTAATTTAAGGGACCGAGCGAGATTCTCGAAAGCCGTAGGACGGCTCCGACGATAGACTCGGGTTGAGCAGTATCCGGTGATACCCACTTTATCCGGGAAAACGACGGTAAGCCACCCGCACAATGGCAGCCACGGAGCCGTCCGCCGATCCAAAGAGTTTGGATTTCGCTTGGCCTTTCTCCTCCACGCCTTGAAAGAAATTCTGTATCGTTGAAATCGCGAATTTAAAATGTGTTCCCGACGGTCTCTCGTTCTCGCGCGATAGCGGAATATTCCTGGATCGAAATAATCATCAGTTCTAGAAAGCATTCTTGCGGCATGAAAATCTCTCTATCGCTATGTTGCACACGTATCTAAAGACTATTTCGTAATCGTCTTCGGCGCCGTATCAATCCGACGTTCAAATTCCAATATATGTTAGAAATGCAGTATAGGAACTTTGGTATTTTAGTTTATTTTAGTGAAGAAGATTTCATTCTTCCGAAAATAGGAGTGATTTTTTTGCTTCCTGATTAAACATCTTGGAAAATCTGACGGTTAATAAAACAACGCTCATGGTTTGCTAAGAAGATGAGTTATCAAGAATAAGAGGGAAGCACTTTACGAGGTTCCATTCCATGTGAAATTCAGCGAACAAAGATGGGGTTTGGGAACAGCAAGAAACGTGACACGCTCGAATGCGTATGCTAATAGGCAGACGTGCCTGAGGCAAAAGCGACTATTAGCGTGAGTTGCGACAATGAGCCGATGTCATCAAGGTAACATTTGCGCTTGCGATAGCAAAATTATCACGATACGCATACTCCCGCGTAAACGGAAATGAATCAAGAACATTGAAAGCCGGAAATTGATGAAGAGCCGCCGTTCAAACCGCGAAATCGTCCTATCTCGCGTTCGTTAAATTTTCAATTCTGATTCAGATCGCAAAAATTTAACTAAAAACTCTGATAGAATTCAACTTTAAACATTTGACGTGGCTCTTTCAAAAAATTAAGTCCATTTACTAGAAACTAGTTTCAAAATAAAGTATTTTACAATGTACATATTTGAATAATATCGATATTGAAACAATTCTCGTTCCTCCTAATTCAGTCCTCTCGAGTATGACTATGAATAAAGAGTGATTTGTGATAAAACTGAGATGCCTTGTGCATAATGTAATTGGACAAAAGTTTTGTTTTAATTCAAAAAAGAAGGGACGAAAGAACAATCGAGCAGGAGAGAGCGACTGTTCGAGGCAAGAGAGAAAGACAGGGGAATTACTCCGTATTTCCGCCAGGATTAAACGTCCGACTTTTTTGTTTTTGCCAAAGTGTTCCAGATTTTCAGATCGCGACAGCCCGGCGAGCTAACTCGAAAAATTCCACAAATTCTTGCACGGCAGAGGAAGCGCGTTCGTCCGTGTACGCGTGTTTCACCGCCGGGAATTGCATAAGACAGGACATGCATAAGACACGCGGGGAGACGGAAGTTACATCACGTGTCGCGCGCCGACGACGGAATCTTTTCGGCAAACACAGAACGCCGAAGGGATTACAGTTTCGTTAAAAAGTTCCGGTAACGAAGGATTTACGGCCGTACGAGAAATAGGTGGCGTAAAAACGGCAGCGGGATGCTTGTAGGAGGAAGGAGTTAAACGAAACACGGCAAAGCCCGCGTTTAAATGGAACGAGATGGCACGTGACCGTGTGTAAACTTGGAAAACGCTGTGTCGCAGTGCGAAGTAATTTAAAATGGGGATTGTAAACTACCCTCGCGTATACCTGTACATATTTTAATATGTATTTGTATATTTCGCATTATTTTTCATCCTCGCTTTTTTTTCGTCATAAGTCGGGAATTGAGGAAAAAATAGTAATAAAAAAATAATACTATCTATTGGAGTTAGTTTGCAAAGTTTCAAATGATAAAAATCGCATCAGTGAACGAATTATGTTTGTATGAGAGAAACAAAGATAATTTATATATGCACATGCAGATATATATATGCAAATATATTTAAATGCGCGACGCGAATAAATGTGTGCGAAACAAGAGGATGCTCCTGAATGACAGATATATATATATATAAAATTCTCTCTCCCTCTCTTCGGGATACTTATCAGATCGGAGCACGTGCCTATTGATTTTGGCTTAAATGGAGAATTCGTAGGTAGATAGAAGTTAGAGAGACCCGAGACGCAAACTGCTCCCAGTAATACCGCGAATTTCCCTCGTGCTGTGCGTCGCTATAGATACATCGTCGTGCCGTGAAAAAGGGAGCGTGCATAATTGCACAATTAAGGGCAGCCACACGATTACCGAACGCTCGACGAAAATACGCTGTAGATTGATACGGAGAAAGCGACTCCCTCTTCGAAGAGATCGAATATTTAATAGGAGCTCGAGGCACGTCGCAAATGTCGCTGTATAAAAAGAAGAGAGAGGAATAAAAGACAGGGTGTAACATCAATAATCTTTATAATTGGAAGATATCGAGGGGATTGCTAAAGCTTTAAGCTTCATTTTATTGCCATTTTGAAAAGATTCCTTCCCAATTTGTTACTCGTTACTGAGTCCTCGGTCGGGAAGTCACTTTTTCCAAAATACTTTCTCTGAAATATCCTGCGGTGTTTCCATTTTTCCACTTTTTCGCGCACGAGATAGAGGTTTC